GGGGAGGGATTGTTATATACTGCGACGTGAATCGAAGCGGTGGGTTAAATCAAACCGAAACTCAAACAGATGCAATTTTTAGCGGTACAAAGATCGGAATAACGGACTGTACAACAAGCAATGGCTCTGTTTCTTGGAGAGGTGAAAGTGGAAGATGAGAAGCCGCAAATTTCGGGGGTAATTGCCGATACGTACGTGGTATGTGCTTTTTTTTTGGTTATTTCGGGCAAAGAATTAACTTATTCGGCATTCCTAAGAGCAAAAGGCTTAAAAACTACAGCAATTTTTTTTTTTTTTTGAAAGCCAACTGCTATGCTTTTTTTTGTAATTTCGGGCAAAGATTTAACTTATTCCTAAAAGCAAAAGGCTTAAGTTATAGCGATTTTTGAAACTCTTCTGTGAAGGCGACGGTGAATGAAAGAGAGATAGATGCTAATATTCAGTAGTTTGATAAAACCTGTAATAACTGCAAGGCGTAGTTGAGAAAATTGGATTATTAGCAGTGAAAATAATTGGTTGGCTGCTCGTACACTACCGCTGCAAAAAAAAAAAAAAAAACAGAGCTTCCATTTTGGGGAATGGAGCCGATCGATATATGCGTGTAGATTAAGTTGCCAAAGTTTCAGCCTTCTAGCTTTTCTGGGTCTCGAGATGAATAAATAGCAGTGCGCACCAGGGCAGCCGTGCGATCATGCATTTTGTGCAATTCTATTCACCGAACGATTGCCTGCTAATGATCTTCACCGCTCTGAATTTAAATTTGAGGAGTGTTGCATGTGAACAGAGAACAGTTCCCCAAAATTTCAACTTCCTAGATTCCGCGATTCCCGGGACAACAGTTTACCCGTCGAAAGTTTCACAAGGCCGTGTATGGGTAGGCTAAATTTAAATTTTTTGAATCGCACATGGGCAGTGGACACGCTGAGAAAATTATAGTTTGCTAGCTTCCGTGGTTCCCGAAATAATAATTTTCCCCGCCAATACTTTTACGGAACCGCACGTTTTACTCGCGGCTACGGGACAGTTGAATTTAAATTTGCGGGATCACACGTGGAACATTCCCCAAAATTTTCAGCCTCCTAGCTTTTGTGGTTCCGAGTTGAAAGTTGCAGACAAGTTGTTGCGGACACACACGAACCGTGACGATATGCCTTTTGTACTGCATAAATACAGAAAACCACATTAAAAAAATGAGATGTTATTGCAGGTGGAGAAAATTGTTGGTATAAAAGTTGCGGAAAATGGTGAAAAAATGTACAAAGTACGCTGGAAAGGTTTCACAGAGAACGAAGATACCTGGGAGCCATACAGTAGCCTGACCGAACCATGTGATCGCTTAATTATGGACTACGAAATGAGCCAGGCCGCGCAGGAATGTGGTGGTGCTGCGGATCAGCCCCGTGCATCAACAAGCAGAAGCAACCACTCATCGGTACCCATTTTCACATTTTTCCCCCTTCTGCCTTCCTTTCTTGCATAGCTTTTCGATAGAAATCTTACTGTGATGCAGCCAGATCCAGTGAAAATCGAAAATTCGATGAAATACCATCGAAAATGAAGTAGGACCGAATTTTGGCGTAAAAAAAAAACGTGCCTGGAAGAGAAAATGGATTAGTTGCGCGTGATTTTGGACTGGAAATTATGAGTTGTTCCAATAAAACTCGAAAAAAAGCTCTTAAAAGTCATATTCGAAAAAAATCAAAAAAAGTCACACTTGGGAAAAATCAAAAAAAAAAAAGACATTTGGGAAGTCTTCTAGTACCATGTATCGTTTTTTTTTTGATTCGCGAAATCATTGTGGCAAAGGTACCACTGCTTTTGCCACATCCCTCACTGTATTCATAAGAGTTACTTGTGGTAAGAGGGCGAAATAATTTTGAGCCACAAGCGGACCTAAAGCGATTTGTTTGGGGGGGGCGGGGGGATTTTTCCCCACCCTTCCTCTCACTTGGTCATCACATCGACTACTCCATAACCTCCCCCCTTGAGGCGTCCCACTACACCCCTCCCCTTCTCTCTCTCTCCCGAAGGTCGCACTACACTACACACCCATTCCCCATCTCTCTCTCTCTCTTAAGAATTGAATGAATGGATTGAATGGATTGTCGTGAGACCATGATTGTAAAACGCATATGTATATTATACAGAGTTAAGAAGATGTAAGGAGGTCATGTAGGGGAGCTAAATGTGAAAGTGGCTGTCGGTGTTTCATCCCTAAGCTGCAAACACAGACAGTATATGGTGTGGATTGGGGTGGGAATCATCAGTGCAGCCCCACAATCCACCATTTGGAAATTTTGATAACATGAATGCATGGTAGGAGAAGAGCAGAGGAAAGAAAGAAGATGGGGAAGAATAGATGGTGGAAGGATAAAGAAATGAGGGGAGGGGGAAGTTTTAAGGAAATAAGGAGTAGCTATTTAACACAAGCATGCATAGAAAACTAACATATGTCACGTAGTTAAAAAAACCAAACTGAGAGTAGCAGGGTTCCTGAAGGGGGAGTGGGAGGC